ATTGCTTTGTGGACTCTTCCCTCAGAAAACCACAAATGTCCCCACAATAACTCCTTCACATAAACATGCCTGTCTGATGCTGAACTGCTGTGTGGCAAAATTAGCTCAGAATACAAGCAGTTATGGACTCCAGCCCTAAAAACGTGTAGGTCTGCATTTTATTTTTAATTCTAACTGCAGACTTTGCCTTCTTGTTAAAAGCAGTGGTTTATAGTTCTACATGCAGAGACTACAGGCAGATATATGACTCCTCTGGAAAAGTTATTTTCGTGTATTTACTGGGTTATTTTGTTAATAAACATTCACTCTATAAAGACACCTGAAAAGGGCCCTCATCAGGGAACAATAAAGTGTAGTTTGCAGATTAACTCTGAGCATCCAGTCCCAGGAATCCCTTGACCTGCCCTCCCTGAAATCCAAAGGCAGAGCGGGGATGACAACTGTTGAGTAGCAAACTTATGTCCACAGGGAGGAGACATGGAAATGTGGTAATTCCCACGCTCATGAGGAGCAGCTCATCCCCTGTCTCTAGTGGCCTGGTGAAGAGCTACCCCATACCTGCACTTTCCTCTGTGTCCACACCGTGGGGTCTATGCTGATCTGGGCTTTCCTTCTAATCACTCTTAATATTACGGCCCTTGTGGATCAGGCTCAGTTTTGGCTGCTCCAGATGGGGCTGTTCTCAGTCTGTTCCCTCTGTGTTTGCAGAAGTCCTGTGTGAAGTTCTCTGAAGAAGACAGCGGGAATAATGGTACAGCCAGGGGTTCTGTGAGTCTCTCCTGCAAACACTCTGGATTCACCTTCACTGACTGCAGCATCAGCCTGGTCCAGCAGGCCTCGGGATCAGGATTGGTGTGGGCAGCTGCAGGGAGAAATTCAAGAGGAAGTTCTCAGTGGTGCCCTCCATGACTACAAAGAAAGTTCACAGTCCCCAGGACACTCTTACATGCATGGTCCAACTGACATCTTTACTTCTTTATCACGTTTGTTCTGTAAATCACAACGAATGGTGCATTCTTCATCTATTATACATTTGTTAAGTCTTTTTTGGTGTCTTTCAAAAAAACTGGTAACTTTATCCTATGTAATACCTGTTAAGTCCTAAAAGTGTTTTTTGATGTCTACTTTGTCTGAAATTTACACAGCTACTATGGCTTTCTTCTGGTTTATGTTTTCATAATCTGTGTTTTCCCATCTTTATCTTTTCTATTTGTGAATATATAGGATAACTTTCTTGTACAAAGCTAATAGTTGGGTCTTGTTTTATCAAATCAACTATAATAAATTCTATTTTTAAAGTAATATTAATTTTTCTGTTATTTTTTGTTTAAATTCGTCGTTTATAATGATTATTTCTCTAACAACAGATTATTTAATTCATTTTTTATAAATATGGTATTGGTTGCCGTAAGGTTTACAATAAGAATTGTATATAATTAGATTCTAATGCAGATACTGTGATGGCCTTTATGTGAAGTACGGAGATAGTGTAACTGTATGCTTTGAATTCCTCCTTCTCCCCAGTCGTTCTTGTTTATCCTCAGTTGGCACTTACATATAAAATATAATATATATTTTATTGCTTTATATAGTTATATGTTATTGCAATTACAAAGATAATAACTGCACTTCCTCTTGATTTTCCCTTTTTCTACAATTTTAATTTCTTTGTATAGATCTATGTTTTCAGGGCATATCACATGTCTACTCGCAGAGAAACTTTACTAACATGTGCCCTGAAACATGAATCTGCTGACAAATTGTCTCAGGATCTTTTTTATTTTTATTTTTATTTTTATTTATTTTTTGAGATGGAGTCTTGCTCTGTCGCCTTGGCTGGAGTGCAGTGGCCGGATCTCAGCTCACTGCAAGCTCCGCCTCCCGGGTTTCTGCCATTCTTCTGCCTCAGCCTCCCCAGTAGCTGGGACTACAGGCGCCCGCCACCTCACCCCGCTAGTTTTTTGTATTTTTTAGTAGAGGCGGGGTTTCACCGTGTTAGCCAGGATGGTCTTGATCTCCTGACCTCATGATCCGCCCGCCTGGGCCTCCCAAAGTGCTGGGATTACAGGCTTGAGCCAAGGATCTTTTTTAATGACATAATTTTTATTTGCTTTCACACTTTTATAAAAATGAAATGCATGTATAATTTCAGTTTGCATTTTGCTTATAATTTATTTTCTTACATTTATTTTTTTCTTCCAGGAGATGATCACATATTACATTCTGCTGGGCTTTTATTAGCCACGTTTCTGTGACTCTACTCAGGGTTGGATTTCAAGTGTATGGTTGCCACAGCTGTCAGAGTTGAAGTCAGCTTCTCCTCTTCACAAGAGCTTCAAGTTACTCCAGTGATACCTGCTTCAGTGTCCCTGTTTGGCTTTGGGTTTTCACATTTCATTCTCCCCAGAGACAGCCTCTTTCAGCTGTGACAGGTGCATCCTGCTGACACTTTTACTTGGTGATTGCTTGTGTGGTGAATGGGCTTGGACACAGGAGCACATTCTCCAACCTTCTGACTAAGACTCCTTTTTAGCTATGGGTGGTGTGACTGGCTCTGAAGCATGGCCTTACAAGTGTTTCTGTTCCTTCTCTTCCCCAGTGTCAGAGTGTCTCTTCCCAGCCACAGTGGATTTTCATCAGCGTCCTCAGGTTCTGACCCACTGTCCTTACCCCACAGATTCAGGATTTCATTCCTCAGGAAAGATATGGGAGGTGTTTCTGGGTAGAGTTTCCTTGGTGTCCTCTGTTTCCTTGTGTTCTAGTTGATTCTACCAGTGCCCACAGGACACAAGATTTAATAAATGTCTCCCACATATAGTGAAGGGGGATTCAGCATTGAACGGAGCTGCTGTTCTTCCTCCCCAGTCCACACTACAGGAGAGCAGGTGGGTGAGTTGTCTGGGGATTTCCCCAATTCTGTAGGAAAAGCCTGCAAGTGCCAGGAGTTTCACATTCACACACCATTAGCACACATGTCCTCAAAACTCATGAAACCTTTCCAGGTTAGCTTTTTCCTTCTTCAATATGATGCTGTGAGTGGCACCTGCCCCAGTTACTCTAATAAGTGGACCCTAGTTCCCTCTGCAGGCCCCGATTTTCTCAGAATACAGGGATTTTTTTCTCTGTGACATCAACTCAGATATGTTGAAGGGTTTATTTTTTGTAGTTATTCATGGTTTTTGTTAACAAAGTCAGAAAAAGATTATTTTCTCAATTTTTACATTATAATGCTTAGTATTTAATTTCTAAATAAAATTCAGAAACTGAAACAACGTATCAAGTATCCATTATTTGGTGCATTGTCAAACAATTTGAGAAATATTAATGTACCAGAATACGATGAACCGTTGAAATTAAGGCATGCCTCATTCACATAAGAACATGAGGATATTATAAAATAATTGTGGTGAGTGAAGGAAGCTGAAGAATTCACAGAAAATCTCAAGTGATTTTATTTGTATGAATTGTAGAAGATGCAACTACTGTAAATTAACATGAAGAATATCTGAATTTTCTGAGAAAAGGGTGGTAAGAGTAACAAGGTGGTGAAATGAAATTACAGATAAGTGAGAGAAAAAAATAGAGGTTAATTTAATTGCTAACAGCATGATTGAAGTGCTGATTCAATGACTGCACACATATATCAACATTTCCCAAATGCTGCACTATCAATTTGTTTTCATTATTAATTGATTTTAATAAAGCAGTAACAAAAATGAATATATTGGCTGAGAAAAAGCAAGAAAGAGATAAATATTGACACTTGAATAATCACAGACTCCTGACAATACACACATGTGAACACTGATTGTATATTTCAGGTAAACACCACAAATGGCAAAATTAAATAAAGTTGTTAGGACAGGTGGGACATCCTGAAAACCGCTCTAGGCATGTCCCACACCACCCTGGAGCTGTCTCAGGGGAGCCGACTCCTCCAGCGTTTAAAGTCACAGGCACAGATAATAGGGCTCTGTCCAGATGTGTGATATTGGACATATTGCACAACTGCTCTGTTCTGCATGTAATTATCTTCTCTAAAAATGTGACATTCACACTTGCGTTAAGTATATTCTACAAGTCTGTAAAAATTAAATAAGACGATGAATACTAAATGATTATCAAGGCACAATCACATAATCTGAAGTTATATTTCCTGAGAGAGAGAATTGACTCCAGTGTTTTCCGGGACACTCTCATCTGCTCTGAGCACTGCCCTCGCCTCAGCTGTCCCACCCCAGAGCTTGCTATATAGCAAGAGACATGCAAATAGGTCCCTCCCTCTTCTGATGAAAAGCAGCCCAGCCCTGACCCTGCAGCTCTGGGAGAGGAGCCCAGCCCCAGAATTCCCAGGTGTTTCTATTCGGCCATCAGCACTAAACACAGAACACACCATGGAGTTTGTGCTGAGCTGTGTTTTCCTGGTTGCTCTTTTGAAAGGTAATTGAGAGTGAAGTAGAAATACTGTGTGTGAGGAGACATGAGTGAGAGGAACAGTGGATATTTGTGGCAGTTTCTGACCTTGGTGTCTTTTTGTTTGCAGGTGTCCAGGGTGAGGTGCAGCTGGTGGAGTCTGGGGGCGGCTTGGCAAAGCCTGGGGGGTCCCTGAGACTCTCCTGCTCAGCCTCCGGATTCACCTTCAGTGACTACTACATGCACTGGGTCCGCCAGGCTTCAGGGAAGGGGCTGGAGTGGGTCTCACGTATTAATACTGGTGGTGGTAGCACATGGTACGCTGACTCCGTGAAGGGCAGATTCACCATCTCCAGAGAGAACGCCAAGAACACACTGTATCTTCAAATGGACAGCCTGAGAGCTGAGGACACGGCTGTCTATTACTGTGCGAGAGACACAGTGAGGGGAAGTCAGTGTGAGCCCA